AACACGACACGGCATACTACAACGTAACACAGCAAAACTTAACATCCATCAGTCCCCTCACTAGTCTAACGTAACACAGAGTGGCGTGTCCTCGTTACTGTAACAACATAAGCTGGTAAACCCTCATTAGCGTAGCATGACATCACAGCATCACACGATATCAACACCACACACTGGCCCACCCTCCCTAACACCACGAAGAAGACCCAGCTTCCGAACCAGGTGCGGGCCTTGGGATTCAAATGCACACGCACACGCACACGCACACACACACACACACACACACACACACACACGTTTAAGGTGGCACAACAGGATTCACAGCATATGGATTTAGACTAAAGATACAGAAGAAAGCAAACAATTTAAAAATATCTCAAAATCGACCACTCCAAGAAAAGTGCAACGGATCCCATGCCATTGGGTTGAACTGGGCACTCCCTGGCTAAGGAACATCCGTGAGCGTTATCTCTGCGGCTGGGGACTGAGGCGGGAGCTGCTGATTTTATTCTAAGACCGTGCTCCGGACGGATGCTCCGGTGCTGACCCACGCAACATAATTGGTTGTTCTGACATCCCTCTAAGTGCTCCGTGTGTATGAAATTGATTTCCAGACACTTTTCCTTGTAATTGGGTCTGAGGTTCTGTAATCGTGAGAATGCGTCGTGTCTGCGGGGCTCTGGCGTGGTGGGGGGCAGGGAATCCAGGCGGCACTGGAAACGTGGCCGTGGGCACCGTCACCCTCAGCAGTCTGCTCAGCCAGGAGGGATCTCACCCACGTGACACGACTTACAATGTTGCTGTTGTTGACAGGGACGATAGAGCCAACTACCGCTGACTGCAGCCCTACGAACAACACTCTGACCACTGCATAATCCTGCACTGACCATCCTCATGTCCCGGACATGCCCGAGTCCACTGTGGTCACTGACTCCGTCCTCACATCCCGGACATGCCCAAGTCCACTGCGGTCACTGCCTCCGTCCTCACATCCTGGACATGCCCAAGTCCACTGTGGTCACTGACTCCGTCCTCACATCCCGGACATGCCCAAGTCCACTGCGGTCACTGACTCCGTCCTCACATCCCGGACATGCCCAAGTCCACTGCGGTCACTGCCTCCGTCCTCACATCCCAGACATGCCAGAGTCCATGGTGGCCATCGCCTCCGTATCTGTCCTCACATCCCAGACATGTTGAAGTCCACGGTGGTCACCACCTCTGTCCTCACATCCTGGACATGCCCGGGTCCACTGTGGTCACTGCCTCCGTCCTCACATCCTGGACATGCCCGGGTCCACTGTGGTCACTGCCTCCGTCCTCACAACCGGACATGCCCGAGTCCACAGCGGTCACTGCCTCCGTCCTCACAACCGGACATGCCCAAGTCCACTGCGGTCACTGCCTCCGTCCTCACAACTGGACATGCCTGAGTCCGCTGCGGTCACTGTCTCTGTCCTCACATAACAGATATGATCTAGTCCACAGTGGCCACTGTATCCGTCCATCTGAGGGTCTTCCTCCCCTTTGCTGACTGTCCCTTTTCCAAGCATAATGCCTTTTCCTGAGAACCAGCACCTTCTGACAACGTGAACAAAGTGCAGGAGGTGAAGAACAGACAGATCTCTCAGGGGGTCAGCTGAACCCAAGAGGCCAGTCCTCAGCTTACTCCACTCAGGGTCACGGGGACAGCGAGAGCCCACGACGAGAGTCGGAGTACAGGAGGGGAGAGGACAGACGGAGGGACGGAGAGGACACGGGAAGACAGGAGGGGAGAGGACGGACGGAGGGACGGAGAGGACACGGGAAGACAGGAGGGGAGAGGACGGACGGAGGGACGGACAGGACACGGGAAGACAGGAGGGGAGAGGACGGACGGAGGGACGGACAGGACACGGGAAGACAGGAAGGGGAAGGACAGAGGAAGGGATGAACGGGACCCACGGAGGGACATGGGCAGAGAGGCCCACTGTGGGGCTGGGATCAGAGTCCGGGACCCAGACACAGCTGGCCGGTGAGTGGGATGCTCATCTGCTCACAATGGTCACTCGTGTTACTGCATGTCCCACTGCCCAGTGGGCCAGGCAGGTCCCAGCAGCAAGAGCCAGACCGCAGGACAGCAGGAAAACAGCTGTGGGCAGGGCAGCACACAGCACGTATGAAGCAAGTCCCAACGAGTCCGCGCTGTAATCCCAAGACGGGCGGGGAGGGAAGCAAGACTGACCCACTCCAGTGCTCGCTCTGGGCACAGACGGCGACAAGCTGGTAAATGACGAGGGCAGTAACCGGTGTGAATGCCAGGACCAGGCCTGTGCAGAGCTCACCTCTGCCCTGCACCCCCACCTAAAGGGGCGTACTAGGGGTTCAGTCCCACCCAGGGTGCCCTGGGGGAAAGGCTGGCGACCGTCCCCTACAGACACAGCCAAGGAACCCTGCCAGGATGTGACCACAGGGCCTCTGTCCCAGAATCACCGGGACATTCACTCTGTTGTTATTGTTGTGTACCGTCACACAACAGAGGCCGTTAACCACACAGGAGGAGAGTGGCCATCCTTCAGCCACCGGGCAGCTGCTAGATTCAAACCATAAACCTTCGGCGTGTCAGGGGGACTCATTACCACCAGGCCAGCAGAGCTCCCCAAGGGGCTGGAGGATGGAGACTGGTACAGTTTAGGGGTTCAGTAACAACACAAAGCTCTCGGTCACGGCTCAGGGTCCCAGAGGCCCTCGCTGGAGGCTGGGGTGCAGCATTCCCCTCCCACGCCTCCAGTCCTCAGGCCAGCAACACATCTCATGTCCTGTGTCACCACGTTGTCCCCTCTCTGTGGTGCCCCTGCCGGTCCACCCTTGTATAAGGCAGTGCTTGGGAGGGATTAGAACCCGCCCACCTCATCCCAAGCTCAGGCTGTAAGAAGGCTAATTGGGAGGACGCTGACTGAAAGGTTGTGGTTCCGGCGACCTGAGGCCTTTCTGGAGTGAAGACCTGGAGAACCGCGTCCAGAAACATTAACCCAAGCCCATCAAGCCCGTTCTTCCTCCCAGCGTCCATCCACGGGGCCCCCCACGCTGGATCCTGCTTCCACGGAGCAGCTGGTGGATTTGAACTACTTGTCTTTGGGATGGTGGTGCAGCTTCTCACCACTAGGCCAGCAGAGCTCTCATTTTTACAGATGTTTGCATCTACCACATACAGCCCAAGCTGCTTTGCATACATGTGAAGTCCGGACAACGAATAAAGAAGACAGAAGAATTGGTGCCTTTGCGTTGTGGTGCTGAAGAGTACACACCACGGATTGCCTAATGAACAGATAACTCTGTTGTGCAAAAAATAAGAGAGATGCAAATCAAAATCCCACTGAGATACCGCCTCACCCCAGAGCAGTGGCAACGTTCAACAGGAACAGCAAGCAGTAAATGTGGGAGGACCTCTCCTCCACTTGGTGATGGGATCGTAGAATGAGAGGAAGGTGGTCCGGCACTCCCTCACAAAGCTGAACACAGAAGTTTGTTATGACACAGCTATCCCACTGCTGGGAATATACCCCGAGGGAATGAGAAATGAAGCACAAATGGAGACTTGTACAGCAATGTTCATAGCTGTGTTATTCACCATCACAAGAACATGGGAACAGCCCAAATGCCCAACCACGACTGAAGAAATTGAGAAATTATGGTACATTCACATGTGGAATACTATACAGCACCCAGGAGCAATCATTTGCAAATTACTTCGTAACTTGAAAGGGACTGGACAGCACCATGCTGAGTGCACTAACTCAGTCCCGTCAGGAGAAATACTGTATCAGACCATTATTGTAGAAACAGAAAAAGGTAACTAGAAAACGTGTGTGAGGATCCGAGGCGGGCAGGTGGGAGCAGGGCGTGAGGATGGGTAGGCGTTAACCACAGAGTTGCACAACTTGGTGAGTGGAGGGAGAGGCGGTCAGGGAAACGGGCAAGATCTGGGGTCTGGGAAGCCGCTGTAGTGGTGGGCATAGCTTACTGACGAATTTTAGAAATATAATGAATGGGGGTAAGTGTATGAAACACAGTGTGAATGAAGGACGGTGTGGATCACAGTGGATATGACCTTTGTAAGCAAACCGACATCAAATAAACATTAAAAACAAAACTCTGCTGAGTAAGAAGTGCAATGAGGGAGCCTCTTGGAGGGAGGGATGGGGAGACTCTGGCTCGTACACGCTGGGCCCGGTACATGCCAGGCCCCGCACACGTTGGGCCCTCCCACACTTTGGGCCTCACACACGCTGGACCCAGCACATGCCGGGCCTTGTGCATGCCGGGCCTCCACACATTTTGGGCCCCACACACGTTGTACCTCGGATATGCCGGGCCCCGCACACAGTGGGTCTCCCATACATTGGGACACACACACTGTCAGGAGGAGCTGGTCCTCAGAAAAGAGAGGTGCGGGGATAGAGGAGACCTTTAATGAGGTGGACCGGCACAGAGACGGTTCGTGGGCTGGTGCATGGTAGAGGCCAGGGATAAGCCTTGCAGGGCTGGGCAGCTTCCATTCTGTTCTACGTGGCTCACGGGGGTGTGGAACCCTAACCCTGACCCTCACTCTCACACAACAACCACAGGGCTGGCGGGCCGGGGGCACCAAAGCATCATCTTACCCCTCAGAGATTGCTGTTGTTGTTATGTGCTGTCAAGTCGCTTGCGACTTTCCAGTCTGTGTCTTAATGAATAAAACAAACCATGCACTTGTTGCTGTTAGGAGCCGCGAGCTGAGTGTGACCCTCCACGACCCTGTGAACAGGGGCCCTGCCCCGTTCTGTCCTCGCACCTCCTGACACCCTGGAGCCCACCGCGGCAGTCGCTGTGTCAGTCCACCTGGTGGGGGGTCTTCCTCTCCTTCCCCACAAGCACGCACTCGCCCTTCCCAGGACATGGCCCCCTGAGCACGCGCCTGCCCTTCCCAGGACGCAGTCCCACCCGGCCGGGCACATCGTAGCGCCTCGCAGGGCTCCCACCTGTGGCCAGGTACATGATGTGGACGAGCAGGTCCCGGCCCTGCACCACGTCCACGGCGATGTGGGACAGACGGCTGTTGTCCTCCATGAAGGCGGGGACTGGGGTCACGGGCTGCACCACCTCGTGCATCAGGATGAACCTCTGGGCGTCCTGCAGGCTCCGCTCAGTCAGGTTGACGTACAGGCCCTGGTCCACAGTGCCACACTACAAGGGGACAGACGAGTCACCATTGGACATGGCCAGCCTGGCCCCAGGACGCTCCTCATACTGAAGTGCCAGGAGTTTCCTTCCCGTTGTCCCATGTCCCCAGCCTGGGAGGCCTCCCCACTGTCTGTGAATCCACACACTGGGCCGTGGCCTGTCCTAGAGAGAGGACTCGTGTGGCCACAGGGCCGTGGAAAGTCAGCTGGCTTTGCTCGGACAGCACACAGCAGGGCTTCTGAGTTCACAGAGCCCCAGGAGCGTCCCTGCAGCGCACAGCATGACTGTGTGTCTGACGAGGCAGTGTCCATGCTGAAACGGACACACCATCACGGTCCACTAAGTTCCTGTGGGAGCAGTGGACTCAGACGTGGCCCAAAGACCCAGGCGTGTCCCTGTGTGGTGTTTCCAGTGAGAGGACGGACGAAGGGGATGGAAACACTCCCTACCCCGTCCTCGAGTCCCTCCTCCCTCACGCTGACCCTCCGCTGGGATTTGGGAGATGGGAGCCTCCACGGAGAACCACGGTCTGTCAAAGCAGCTGGTGGTTTGAACCACCGACCTTTCCCTCTGTGGGGCAACCACGATGCAAACACCACAGGACCCACATGAAACGTATAAAGGGTATTTAGAGTCTGAAAAGGAGAAAGAGACTGACAGGTTTGCAGACGAGAGAGGGGGAGGGAAGGAGGAAGAGGAGGGAGGAGGAAGAAGGAGCAGAAGGGCAGAGAGAGAGGATGGGGGCTGCAGGGGGCACGGGTGTGGATGCCCTGAGGCTGCGCCCGGAGCTGCTGCTGTGTCCAGCTGTGTCCCAGCCTCCTGGGAGAAGAGCTGGACCGAGAGGCCGGGAAGACCGAAGCTGCTCGGGACGACAGGAGCGGACAGCCCACCCAGCTGCCCCGTTTCTTTTTCAACTCGACCTCCCGGGAGAGATTCGGAGCCCCATCGGAGCAGGTGTGGTGGGGACAAACTTCTCTCATGTCCCAGCAGGGAGCGCCCTCCCTAACGTGTCATTTCTCCTCCACGGTCTGTGACAGGTGAGGGGACAGACGTGTGAGACTAGAAATTGACGTTTTTAAAACACTGTGCTGCCTCTGTAGTGCTTTGGGCCATGCCCTCTGTGTTCTCAGATGCCTGGCTGGTCACACAGTGGTGGAATCTCGGGTTCAATGGGTTTTACAGGCTGACGGTGATTCACTTAACACCAGGTCCTCACAGAGGTGTCCCCCTGACTCCTGGGAGCTGCCACCTCCATCACCTGGGGGGCAGGGGGGCCAGGTGCTACCCTGCAGTCTGCTCATCATCTCACCTGGGGGCACAGAGCTCACACTCACCCCACAGAGCACTGGGGTCAAGGATGTGGAAGTCCTCGCACACACCAGCGGTCAGCACAAAGGTCAGTGACCTTCCTGGTCAGCGCCCCGGCCCACAATGGGCAAAGGCCTCCCTCCCGGTCAGAACCCCTGTCCACAGAGGGACAGCCGTCTGCAGTCCCATGAGCTGTGGCCAGAGGGATGGCGGACAGAAAGCCCCTCCTATGCACGTGAGAGCTGGACAACGAACAAGGATGACAGAAGAAGGGACGCCTTGGCACCGTGGTGCTGGAGCAGAGCACCGAGGGCCCATGGGCAGACAGAAGAACCAATGTGTCTGCAGGAAATGCAACCAGGCTCTCCTGAGATGCAGACAGTGGACTTCATCTCACGTACTGGGTATGGTGCTAGGAGAGGCCGTTTCTTGGACAAAGACACCATGCTTGGAAAGGTGGAGGGATGGTGAACGAGAGGAAGCCCCTCAATGAGACCGCCTGGCACAGCGACTGCGGCAATGGGCTTGGGGACGGCAGAGCTGGTGAGATGACGTGCACCGCTCAGAAGTTTTGTCTGTTGTTCGTGGGGTCACTGAGTCAGAGCCAACAGCACCAGGCCCCCAGGGTCCAAGGCCAAGAACTTCCCACAAGCTGACTCCCTCAGATCGGCCATGGGTCAAACCACAGACCTCCCGGCTGGCCATTGGACGCACTGACCACTGCCCCATCAAGACCCTTGGGGAAACACACATTATAAATACAGTGAATAGTCATGAGGAGTTGAAAAGATGCTTTTCAATACACAGGATGACCTGAGCTCCAGGACTTTACAAAGGCCCCGTAAAGAGGTCACTTCACCCAACACAGAGGAAGGGGCTTCCACAAAGGGACATGCAGGTGGACCCTGCTCGGTCCCTGAGGACAAAGGCAGGTCGTCACCCACCACTGATGAGTCACAGGCTTGTGAGGGTGAATGGTCACTTGGGGAGGAGGGAGGGTGGGGCGTGGAGGGCCTGGGAGGGAAGTCCGCAGGACCAGTCTTCCAATGTTCACTTCCTGCTCCGCAAGCAGGCACGTGCTGACCCCTCACTGGCCTGCAGCCAGATGGACATACACGCCGTGGAACATCTCTCTTACAAGCAGGCACGTCCTGGCCCCTCACACACGCTGTGGAACATCCCTCCCGTGTCCAGTAGGATCTACATGCCACACAGACATTCCTCCCGTGTCCAGTAGGACATATACTCTGTGGAGGCATCCCTCCCGTGTCCAGTAGGGCGTTCACCATGTGAGGGCATCCCTCCCGTGTCCAGCAGGATCTACATGCCACAGAGGCATTCCTTCTGTGTCCAGTTGGACTTATACCCTGTGGAGGCATCCTTCCCGTGTCCAGTAGGACATTCACCCTGTGAGGGCATCCCTCCTGTGTCCAGTGGGACAGATATATCCTGAGGGAGAACCCTTCCTGTGTCCAGCAGGACATACATCCTTGTGGGAGTATCCCTCCTGTGTCCAGCGGGTACATATACCCTGTGGAGGCATCTCTCCTGTGTCCAATAGGACATTCACCCTGTGGGGACATTCCCTCCAGTGTCCAGGGGGACAGACACTCTCAAGGGGGTCCCTTCTGTGTCAAGCGGGACATATACCTGGTGAGAATGTCCCTCCTGTGTCCAGTGGACATACACCCTGTAGGGGCATCTCTCCTGTGTCCAACTGGACTTTCACCCTGCAGGGGGTCTTTCCTGTGTCCAGGCTGTGGGACACTCACCACCATGCCCACCTGGATGACAATCCTGTCACCTTCCTGCAGAAAGGAGGTAGAGGCAAGCCTACTGGCTGACCCTGGACAGGCTCGTCGGCTCTGAGGTCCAGCTCCCTCTGCCCGTGAGAGGGCAGAAGGGCGCATCCTGAGATGCTGTGTGGCTCGTGGCCTAGTGCTGTCCACCCCCCTAGGCCCATCTGCCAGGAGGAAATGGGGCCACTCAGCCGGCTGGCACTGTCACTCCAATTGTGTGACCCTGGGTCTGTGTGGTCCCCTCCCATGTCTATCAGGGTCCTCCGACTGCACCAGCAGCAGCGCTGATTGAAGCCTGGCCCCAGAACTCTGGGAAGCTGGCCTTTTCCAGGCCACCTCCAGCTGTGCTGGACAAAGGCACATTGTTCCCCGGCGTCCTGGGGACAAAAGGCCCCCTCTATTTACATTACAGGACTGAGCAGGCGTGGGCCAGGGCAACGGGTCACTTGGAGAGGGGGCCGTGGGGGTGGGGCTTCCCAGGCCTGCCCACTGGACATGATGCAACCTTAGCAGAGAGGCGTGGGCTGTGAGGGGACAGTGCAGGGAGGGGACAGTGCTGGGCGGGGGCACTCTGCCTGGATACACAGGGTCTCATTTTCTCAGGGCAGGACTGGACCCCGTTTCTGGCACCGAGCACCTCACGCTTCGACACTGAGTTATCTGGGTGTTGGGGTTGGAGGGGCCGGCGTGGAAGAGGTCATCACAGGAGGGGTCAGACCTCGGCTGGGGCACTCTGGCCTGGACACATAAGTGTCTCATTATTCCAGGATAGGACAGGACAGGGCCCCACATTGGGATACAGTAGACAGTCACCATTTTCTCAGGATGGACAGGCCCTGTGTCCTGCCCAGAAGACCCGCACCTGGAAGTCGGGGTTGGACAGGGTCACCACGTGAGGGGTCAGGATCTTCCCATGTCAGGTCGGGACCCATATCCTGCCTTGAGGCCCCTTGTGCTCGGCCCTGACTCACCTGGAAGTTGGGGTTTGGGGTTGGGGTAGGGCAGGAGGGGTCGGCACTTCCCCCCATCAGGTCAGGACCCCACGTCCTTCCCAGGAGGCCCTCACACCCAGCCCTGACTCACCTGGAAGTTGGGGTTGGGGTTGGGGTAGGGCAGCCACACGGAGCGGGAGTTCTCCTGGAACTTGAAGGGTCCGTTGAAGGCTTGCGCAATGGCGCTCAGATTGAAGACACACACAGCCGAGGCGGCAATGCTGTTCCTGGGGGGCAGAGGGGGCAGAGGGAGTGGTCAGCCTGAAGTATGGTCATGGGGCATCGGCTAGGAAGGTTAGCACTGGCCAGGGGGCAGAGGGGTCAGTCAGCAACCACCGTGGCCACAAGGAGGCTGACTGGGCAGGGCATTACTGTCCAGGGGACAGAGAAGGAGCAGTCATTTCACAGTGCAGCCTCAGCTGCTGGCCAGGCTGGCCAGATCTGTCCAGAGCCCCTCCAGCACTCAGCGCCTCACCCCCAGGAAGGGTCCAGATGGCACCTGGCTCCTCCGTGGACCCCTGCTGCCGGAGCACTCTCTGCCGCACGGGAGCAGGAGGACAAGTCTATCCTGACTTCAGTGAGCACAGTCTTAGAGGAGGGGGGCTGGGGGAGCTGTGGGGCTGGGCAAAGGGCCTCAACGTCCAGACCACAGCCTGCTTCACGGGTCTGGACTCGCTCAGGGTGCCTTGGACAGGAGGCCTTGTGAGCTGCTCCCATAAAGACCAGTGTCAAGAAAGCCACAGGACCGTTCACTCTGCCACTCACAGGGCCACCAGAAGCCAGCCAGGACTTCAACAGAGCTTCCTGAGCTGGACAGACAAGGAGGAAAGGCCTGACCATCCACGTGTGAACATCCGCCCATGAAATCTCAGATATGCAGCGTGAGGTTCTGTGCTGGGAGGTGAGTGCAGGCTCAAGCACACAGTGACCAGTATGACCATGAGGACACACAGTGACCAGAGAGACAGGATCCAGATGGCCAAGGACACTTAGAGTGCAGAGTGACCACAGTGACAGGCTCGAGATGGCCAAGGACACTCAGAGTGCAGAGAGACCACAGAAAGGGGCTAAAGGTGGCCAAGGACACAGAACACAGAATGACCACAGCGACTGGCTCGAGATGGCCAAGGAAACTCAGAATGCAGAGTGACCACAGAAAGGGGCTGGAGATGGCCAAGGACACTCAGAACAAAGAGTGACCACAGCAACAGGCTCAAGCTGACCCAGGACCAGGGATGGTCAGAACAAGGTCATGGTCTGTTGTGGGGTCAGCCTGGACAACAGTTCTGACACCGGGAATGACCAGCTAACTGGGCCCCATCCTGTCCGCGAGACGCTAACCTCGGTGAGACCCCGGCCCTCTGCGCCTGGCTGAGATCAAGGCTGGGGCATGAAGTCCGGCAGGCACTGGACATACTGTGGGCTTTGGGGCTTTGGACTGGGCTTCACAGGACCTGCTTCTCAGGCCACGGTGAGGATTGACAGGAGTTGGGGGACACGGAAGGGGGCATCAATCCCAATGGATGTTCCATGTGGGGTGTCCATGCAGGCACCCCTGCACCGTGACGTGCTGTTACTGTTGTTAGGTGCTGTCAAGTTAGAGCCAACTCATAGCTGACTGCCCCTCCCACCCTGCCCAGCAGATTTTCAGAGGTTGAACTAGTGCAGGTGGAGATTTCTCTGCGACTATGCAACTGTCGGGTGGAAGGTCAAGTTGGGAAGGTCAGTCTGGCCCCCCTTTCTAATCCGAGACAGAAGAACAGAACACCTGCTGGTAAGGACAGCCCCTCAGTGGCCAAGGCCAGAGCTGGTGGAGCACCTGGACATCTGTCTGGTGTGGCTCACGCTGCCACCAAGATGATGCTGACTCCTGGCCAGTGTCCAAGGCTAGACCTCTCCACAGCAGGAGACCGCCCACCTTTCTCTCCAAGAGCCACAGGAGATTGTGCGGAACAAGCCCACCTCAGAAAGCACCGTGACTTTCCAAAGATGCGTATCCCCTGGGATACAGTGAACTCTGAGATTCAAAATGCCAAACAACTCAATGCCATCGACTCGAAACCAAGTCACAGCTGGTTTCTGAGGCTGGGAGTCCCTCAGGAGGAGAGTCTCTGTCTTTCTCTTCTGAAGCTGCTGGTGGATTTGCAGTGACAGAGAAGAAGCATCATTCCGTATGGACTAGAGGACCAGAGGCCCCTCCAGGGTCCAAGCCTGAATCCACAGCAACAAGGAGGTGGGGTGGGGTGGGGTGCGGCCGTCCTTAAGCCCAATTTTCTCAACTCTGCCAAAACCTCTTGTAATGATTCTTAACAGGCAACAACAGACTGAACCCAGCAGTGGGAGGAGCATGGGGAGATTCGCAAGGAAGAAAGATGTGGATAAAGTGACTGGAGACGCAATCCTTGGAGCAAGCTCCGAGTGACGACAAAGAAGCAATTCCAGAGGGCAGGAGGAGGCAGAGGTGTGCGGATCCTCGCCTCCAGGGTTCTGTTCACGCGCAGGGCACCTCATGTGCCCTCAGCACTGTCTGTGGGGCTTGTGTGCTGCAGACGGGTAAGGACTGGCCTCAGGATCCCTCTCTGACTTCCAGCCAAGGGCCCATCTGCCCTGGCCTTGCGGCTGCTGCAGGGAGTAGTTTTCTGCAGCCGTGCACAGCAGCAAACATCATATCAGAGTGGGCACTGTAGTCAGGCCAAGGGTCCACGTGTCCCCTGAGCTGAGAGGCCTGGGACACAGGACTGTTTCAATGCTAAAACAGGATATTCCTGAAAAGACCAGAGAGCTGGGCACCTTCCCTGCCAGCCAACCCTCATGGTCCAGTTCAGCCCTCTGCTTTGGAGACACACGGTGGGTTTTGTTCAGAATGCTAGCCCAGCAGGTTAGAGGTTTCACAGTGGGTCTGGGCCAGGACTCAGAGCGTGAAGCCACACTGGGTCCTGATGGGCAGGGCCATCTCCAGGGGGTGGTGTGGAGGCCCCTCTCCTTCATTCCTCAGTGCATATGTGCTCGCTGGGGTCCTCAGGACACCCCAGCTACACAGAGAGGGTCTGAGATGTCAGCTTCACGCCGCCAAGCATGTGCAACAAGTGTATCACCAGCCCTGAGGTCCTCAAGTCCCCGCAAAAAAAAAAAAACCCAACAGCTTTAAATGGCTCTTAGAAAGTTAGTGTCCAGGTGGGCCAGCTGCCGGAAGACCATTCTAGAATGCAGCTACCCTGTCCTTCAGCACGTCCCACAGGGCAGCAAGAGGAGAGCCATGTTATCTCAGGCCAGACTTCTTGGTCCACCCTTCACTCTGTGCCAGGGCTTGACTGTGCATAGAAAAATCAGCTACACACACACATACACACATTTCAGAAAGAGTCAGACAACGGTGCCAGATTGTGCAACTGCCACGCACACGCACTTCCGAGAGATCTCAGACGTCTCTATAAAACATGTCTGTTGGTGCAGAAGCAAAGCAACAACACCAGATGCCCACTGGAATTCCCCGGAACACCTGGACCACCTAGGCTGACAGGATGCAGAAAAACACACCTGGCATGCTCCACCATCTCCAAACAAGCCCAAACGCCAGGGCTTAACTGTGCATGGGAGAAGAGCACGAAACATGAGCCAGCATTTCGGAAAACTCCCTGAATCCTCGTGCTTGAAAATAGACTAAAAATGCACCTTATACAGCCCACCATTCCCCGAAGTGCCTGGAGCAGTGAGCACGCGGGGAGAAGGGAAAACAGCAGACCTGTTAGCCTACATGCAAGCACACAGGACAGATGGAACCTTCTCCAGACCAGCTTCACCTCCTAGCACGGCCTCAGGAGTCACGAGGCTCTGGGAAACATCAGAGCACAGTGCAAGCCCTCTCTCTGTCCACTGTGGCCACCCGCCCACTGTCCGCTGCCCAGGGCCCAGTCGCCCACCGGCTTATGCACACATTGCCCAGAGCCCGAGTGCCCACCAGCCTACGCACACATTGGTCGTGAAGACACCGTAGAGGAGGTCCAGCTCGGGCAGCAGGAAGGTGCTCTGCAGCTCGTTGTAGTAGAAGGGGACCTCGCCAGGCCGTGAACAGTTGAGGCGTGCCTTCATAAAGGTGGTCCAGGTGTCCTCCAGCAGGAAGCGGCCCCCCAGGTCGTTCTTGCAGACCCTGGCCGCCCGGGAGAACACCGTCTTCCCGCAGTCCTGCTCCACCGCGTTCTCCCGGAAGAAGAAGTAGGTGAAGTTCCCGATGTCGTATGAGGACACGAAGTTGGGCTCTGCAACGGGGCAGGGAGAGATCTCAGTGGCCATGTGGTCTGGTAGCTCATTCCCTGACACACTCACACTCTACACACAGCCTCACACATACACACTCACCCCTCTACCCAGAAAAACACAAACACTTCACACATAACACAAACTGAACATTACACTATACAAATACCACACACATATACACTGTCCACACTCACCACACCCACCACACACACACACACACACACACTGTACACCACTGGTAGAGTGTGTGTGTAGTGGCCTGGTGTGAATACTGATTTGCTATGAGAGTTACAAACTAAATTGTCAGTTTGTGGTGTTTGGGGCGAACATTGTTCTAATCGGTTCAGCGCTTGTCTGTCAGTTTGCTGTACTGAGGTAACTGTAGGTTGCTGTGATACTGAAAGCTGTGCCACTGGTGTGACAAATTCCACAAGGGTTACCCATGGTGGACGGGTTTTAGCAGAGCTCCCAGATTAAGACAGACAAGGAAGCAGGACTGGGTATCCACTTCTTAAATAACAGACCTCTGAAAACCCTATGAAGAGTAGAGGAACAGGGACAGTTATAGTCTACAGCATGTTGTTGTTGCTGATTGCCACCAAATCGGGCACGACTCATAGTGACACTGTGAACAAAAGGCCTGAAGCCCTTCTACAACTACAGTCATTTATCAAAGTTCAAAGGGTTTCCAGAGGCATATTGTTCAGGAAGTGGATGCCTCTCCTGCTTCCAAGTTTACACCATACTACACACATATTCATCAACAACATACCTCCCACACAACAACACACATACTTACTACACAGAAAGGTGGGGGCTCAGAAAAGAGGAAGACCCTTAACCTGACAGGTTGATGCAGTGACTGCAACAATAGGCTAAAGTATATCAGAGTTGATGGGAAGGCACTGGACAGGGCAGGGCTCACGTCCCTATTCAGAGGACTGGTTTGAGTCATAGTCAACTTGATAGCACACAACAATAAACAATGTGTGTGTTGGTCTTTATACTCTTTTATGATCGACACAAAATCAAACTGTTCACAGCAAATCGAGAGGTTAGATAGGAACTTTGGGGCAAAGTGAGTTTATGCTAATTGGGGAGACAACTTGGAAAAAGAGGACAACAGTTAGGTGTCTTGAAGGCCGTGACGTGACGTGACACTGGGTTCTGCATTTGTAACCTGAATGGATAGATGTTTTGCTGCGTATGTTCTCAACAACAAAAATACATTATGTCTTTTGAGAAATCATTCTAGATCCAGATTGTGTGTCTTATGTCTTTCCTGTCAAAGGCCAGTTCCGACCTGCTTGTCAGGGCAGATGGGCACATGGCTGGGTGGGGCCAGTGTGGTAGAAGTCTTAGGCATGGAGCCCTACAGTGCCCACTTCCTGGGTGCTAAGTCACCTCATTCAACACCTCCTCTGTAAGGCCATCATGATGGAAGAGGCCATTACAGAGTCGGGTCCCAATAAATCGTGACAGCTATTAATCCGTGATTTATTTTTGGCATGTCTTTGAATAATTCACATTAGTAGAATGTCACACAGCAAGAGTAACAATAGTAACAATGGTTGGCCAAACATACACCTATTAAACCAAAAAGTGACCACAAATTGAGGCACTTAAGCCTAGCCATTCTGAGCCACACTAATCCACAAGACGGAAATATATCCATGGTAACAAACTCCAGGCCAGATGTCTTTTGTCCTAATATCCAGGTTACCTCCTCTTTTACAAAGCCATGTCCAGAGACAGTACCTCTTACCACAAAGAAAGGAGTTGTTTCTATTATCACAGCTACATGAAAAAGCATTGTAGAGGCTTTCAAAGAAGATCAATTATATCTAGATATCTATTAAGAGAGGGTAATTGAATTAAAATCAAAGTGTGGCTTATAATCCACTGGTGCACCAAAATTCAGCACCCTAGATTCCTACTAAAATAATAACCAGATGAGTGGATAGGTAGGTAGGGAGGGAGGTAGATTACAATGAGTAGATGGTAGATAGATAAACCGATGGATGAATGCATAGATACATAGACAGACAGACAGACAAGAGATGGACTGTCAAAGGAACCCTTGGAAAAAGTGCCCTCAGAGTCCCCCGTGGAGGCAAGGATAATGAAACTTTCTCTCTCGTACACTGGCCATGCTGCTAGAAGCTATTCCTCAGAGAGGGATATCATACTTGGAAAGTTGGAGGGTCAGTGAGAGACAGGAAGACCCCCGACAAACCAGATCGACACGGTGACTGCAGCAATGAGCTCACGTGTGTCAGAGTTGGTAAGGATGACACAAGACAAAACAAGATTCAAGTCCGTTGGGTATATGGTCACATTCTGAGTCTTACTTGACTTGAGGGCACATAACAGCAGCAGGGTGTGACTTGATACTGCCCTTTCCTGCTTGATGAACATTGTTACATTACTGAATGTCACAAGCGCCCCGTGTCCTCGGTTCAGAACAGCAGGTAACACGTGGCATGGGGAACTACTGAGACTGGGAGTCTGAACAGGGCCAGCACCTGGCCGGTGGGCACCACATCAAGTCACTGTGTGAAGCTGCTGTTTGTCTACCTAGAGTGAAAAAGTGCATGGCAAGCAGACGGCCAGGACTTAATTCACACTCAGTCCACTGCTGCTCCTTTTACGTTCTGCCCGTCGGTGTCGGGACTATGTTCTTGCCAGGAGCTCTGGGACCTGCACGGTGGAGGAGCGTGTTTTCAGCTGGGTGTGAGACGGTGGTCAAGGGACCCTTCACCCTCAGACATCTCTTCCACCCCACAACGTGTGGACACACGTTTGCCCTGGACATTGTGCTCACGGCCAAAAACAACATGCCAAGACCTACCCAGAAGAGCAAGGCGGTCACTGATAGGATACTATGCACAAACCAACCTCTAAAGCCAAATGACGAACTTGAGCAGATTCAACTTTAGCAGTCGAAATTGATCAGATAGGCAATCAATTGATAAGTATTGTTAACTGGGTATGAAAACAGGAACATTAAAGGACTGAAGGAACCGAGGCATTGTCCAGTTATAGGAATGATACTGGTGACACCTTCCGGCATCGTGGCAACATGCAAGCTGGCACAGTACCACACGCCGACAGGCGACTGATGTCTCTGAACTGTGTTTACAAAGCGTGTGGAGTATCGCTGGACTCCAGGAGGACAAAGAACCTGTTCTGAGGTCAGATGCAGTCACAGCGCTCCTTGGAGGCCGTGGTGTTGAACGTCATTTCACTGACATTGAGCGTATTCTCAGGAAGAGCCAATACCTGGAGAAAGACATCATGTTGGGAAAGGTGGAGGGTCAGAGAAGGAGAGGAGAACCCTCAGTGCGACGGACTGAGAGGGACAGCCAAAACGGGCTGGCGTGTGACACCGGAGAACTGCCCTGGGCTGACTGGACGGAAGCTCTCCGATAGGAGTTCCGGGTTTCTCTGCATGCATCCGCTTCCACTTACACCGTAAAATAAGCAAGCAAATAAAAACAGCTCCACACCTACCAATCAGAGGCAGGGTAGTTACAGTCTTCCAAAGGCAAAGTAAGAGAATTGGTGTTGTGTTCTGAGTAGGAGCTGACCACAGCTGACCATCCAGCGGGTTGTCAGAGGCAGCTCAGCGCATGAGAGGAGACTGCCCTGCCTTTGTGACAGAGCAGCTGCAGGCTCTGTGTCTTTCGGGTCACAGCACAGCATCTGACCACAAGACCACCAGCGCACCCTAAAAATGAGTTGTTAATCATTGTTTTCTCAAGTGAGACCTTTCAGAGTCTCCAGGTAGACTTGCTGTTTCTCCTGGCGGTGTATGGTTTGTTTTCTTTGTGTAAATGTATAATCCGCTCTGAATTCGTGGTTTTCCTTGGCATTGACAAGCGAGCCTTCAGACTTAACATCTGCTTATTGTTGAAGTATCTAACTGGCATTCCATCAATTCCTGACTGGAATTCAGGAATTGGAATCCCGTCAATTCTGGGAGCCTTGGTTTTGGGTTTTCTCAGTGATTTGTTTTTGCCAAAGCCGTCCGTGCAACTTGGACTTCTTCCCTCAGTACCACTGACACTTGATCGTATACCAACCCTGGGAATGGTTACAGCTGTAGAATTCTTTGACTTTCAGTGACACTGTGTGCTCCTTCCGTCTTCGTTGACCCTCCCTGTGATGCAAAGCCGCTCATCCACTCCTGGGTAGCAGAGCAAAGGAAATAAACCTGAGTACGGACTTGATAAGGTGCAGTCACTTTTGGATGCATCCTTCATGACCGTGATGGCCAGTGTGACTACAGCGTTTGGGACACACGGGTGGTGTGTGGGCCCCAGGCCTCTGCCAGCCATCTGCCCAGGGCACCGTCCGCCCAGGGCACCGTACTTCTGAGCGCTCTGGTCATGTGTGGAGAAGGCTGGCTGGCACACTGAGTCTGCTGCGGTCACCTCGTCAGGTGTCACAGGGAGGGGCCGTCTCGCTGGTTCACACGCCGCAGCCCACGCACACATCATGCCACGCTGCCCCGTACTGCTCCATCCTCACTATCGCCGCTGTCCTTGAGTCCACTTCTGCAGCCACCAGGCCACATCGACTGAGTGGACGCGGCTCAACACCCCACAGGCACACAACCGCACGCGTTCCTTTCCGGTACTAAGAACTGGCTCAAGGTGTTCTGCGTGGGGCTCTGTGTGCACCTCCTGGTCGGCTCTGCCCCCGGTGGGGTGCAAGGCCTGTCCACAGTCAGCCTGTTCCCGGCAAAAAGCCGCTAGAGCTTGTGGAACTTGAACGCTCTTCATAGTCAGGTTCACGACAAGCCAACGCGAGATGTGAAACAGAAAGGCTTGGAGGAACGGCTGTGCGTGTGTGTACGTGTGCACGTCTGTCCTCACACACGCTTCCATCGTCCAGGTCACACAGGTACAGTGTCACGGACGGGCGTGTTCCCCTGAAATCTGCATTAGCGTCCTAACTCCTACTCCTGCAGATGGGATCTGCTGGGAAGTAGGATCACACCTGAGGAAGAGTGTGAGTTCAAATCTCACCCACCTCAGCTATAAACAGTGCACGGGGCGCCTTGGAGGACTGTCACCATCGCACGGGCCGTCTAGCTCCTGATGAGGGAGGAGTCGACGTGGCCAAGACCGGACTGGGACGCGCCTCCAAAACTGAGACACAACATAGGGAAACACCAGGGAGGGAAGACAGGTGTGCCCACCCGGGGGCCGAGACGGCACCTACCGGGATGACCCCTCTGGTCACATGGTCAATGCCCAAGGTGGAGGTTAGGACCACTGTCTGAGGGGCTAGTGAGCAGGTGACCCAAGATGAAAGGGACAGCTGGGGAAAGGATGTTTCCGGAGAAGGGATACCTAGAATGCGGCTTTCTGCCAATGTGTATTGTGACATGTGGGCGCAACGGCTGGAGCTGCAGCAACCATTTTGCAGCCAGGAGATGGTGGGGACCAGAGCCAGGACAGTTGCTGATGAGTGGGTTCTGGTGACCTCATGTGCAGAGCAGAACTGCCCCAAAGGATTTTCAAGGACGTGACCTTTCAGAAACAGGTCACTCCAGATATTTTTTCCAAGGCGTCCCTCAATGGGTTTGAGCTGCCTTTCAGTCATCAGCTGGTTGCTGACTCCTTGGGGGCTGATGGAGGGGACGAAGGACAAAAACTGCATCTCTGGCCACTCTCTTGAGCCACTGTAGACCAAGTCAAACTTCCCGTTCTACACAACAGCAGTTTCTCTTTATTGTCAAGCTGCCTGGAGTCACCTGAAGCCAAACACATGGAACTGCACAAGGTGGACATTTCATCTCCTTAAAGAGACAGACTGACACAGTGACTGCAGCAATGAGCTCAAGTGAGTTGGAGACGCGGAGGGTGGCACTGCACAGGGCAGGACTCAGAGCTGTTGTTCACAGGGTCACTGTGAGTCGTAAGCTCGACGGCACCTAACAACAACAGTAACAATCTAGACTCTAAGATGGGTACCAGCCTACAGACATCCTTGGCAGAACTTGAAATTATCGGTATTGCAAAGAAAGCTCAATGAAAAACAGTCACAACAAAGCTTAGCACTGACGATGTCACATATGAGTATTAACGCTGCTATCAGCCAGTCAGAAGAGTAAACCCATCCATCTGAGAAGAAAGATACCGCGAACACTCCCTAGTAGAGAGGGTGGTCTAAGACTAGGCCGGCTTACTCCAATCCTCACCAGGGTGGGGCAGCCACTGGGAAGGACTATGAGCCTGTTAAAGCAGAGGTCAGTGAGGAGGACAGGGAGGCGGCATGAAACACGATCACCCAGTGGTCAGACAGGGTGTCAAACAGGGCCAAGGTCACAGTCACGGAGACGCCTCAGGACTGGGGAATGTCTCCAGTCAACATTCACGGGGTCTCCGTGAAATGAGCCAACCCAAGAAAAAACCAAGACGGCACGTGTTCAGCCACTTCCTAGCTGGGGAACTGGGGCCAGCCCTTCTCTCCCCGGCACGCAGGATCCGGAAACGCCCTGCAACATGGCACGCTGGGCGCTTCGGGACCAGGGGCTCGTCCTGCCATGTGAAGGTGCGCGCCGGACTTACCGTTGAGCCACTTGGAGTTGTACTGCGCGGTGCGGAGCGGAGGCAGGACCCCCAGGCTGCGGTAGATGGCCGGGTCACGGCCGGGGAAGTCCATGGCCGTGGCGGCGTACAGCTCCCCGCCGGCCGTCAGCAGCGCCGTGGAGTTGTGCTGGGGGCTGTAGGGACAGCGGGCCATGCCGCTGATCTGGTCATGGATCTCCGTCAGGTTGCTCAGCTGTGGACAAGAACAGGAGGGTCTACTGTTTTCACCACCACTGAGGTGGTGCCATCACTGAGGCGGCACCATCAGTGGGGCAGTGCACTGCCCACCAGCAATGCAGGGCGCTCTGGGGATGCCCACTGCGATGCTGGCAGGGGAGAGGACCCAGCACCTGAGCCCTCTGCCTTCTGTGTGTGTGTGTGTGTGTCCACCTTTCTCTGACCACTTTTGTGTGTGTGTGCACGCACGCCTATCTCTGTGCACTTCTCTCTCACTGTGTGTGTGTGTGTCTATGTGCACTTCTCTCTGTGTCTTTCTCTGTGCACTTGTCTCTCTCGCTTTGTGAGTGTGTCTTTCTCTGTGCACTTCTTTTCTCTTTTTCTTTGTATATTTCTCTCTTCTCTGCGTATCCTTCGGGGTGTCTCTGTATTTCCTCTTTTGTACATGTAACCCTCCGCCAGGCACTCCCCCATCCCTTTCTCTTTCTGTGTACCCCTCTCTCTCAGCTTCTCTCTATGTGTCTGACTCCCTGTGTGTCCTCATCTCTCATTTATTAAAGGTTTTGAGCCACATGTTATCAGACACAGAACAGGCGTCAGGGTTATCACGCACAGCTTCAAGGTACGATGCATGGACACTGAGGACTGTACGAGTAAAGACGTCACCTCACTCCCCGCAGGAAGAGATGGAGAGTGGACGTTCCGAGTTCACAGCCCCACGGAGAAAACAAGGAGTGCCAGGCTCCACGTCTTGTTTCCAGCAAGGCCACTGGGCACTTGGCACCAGGCCCTTGACCTTCCAGACTTCACCTCAGATGTCAGAGAAGCCTCTGGGGCCGGGCACCCTGACATGAACCCTGCTTCCTGAGGCCTCCAGATGGTGCTGCTGCCAGCTCTTTGGAGGCGGGTTCCCCTCTTTCGGTTCCGTCCTGTTCACCCAGAGGAGAGGTGTGGGTGTCCACACTAGTGTGGAGCCCAGGGAAGCTGTGTGAGCTCTGGACGCCCCAGCACCCTCTAGAAAGTGGGGCTCAGATTATCACAGGCTTAAGGGCAGCTGTGAGGAGCGAGGGACTGGGCTGACAGGAGGCTACAGGCCAGGGACTGGAGGCAGGAGGTCCTGGGGGCATCACTCCATGGCCTCACCATTGTCCCCGCGCCCCTCATGCTCCTGTTGGAGGCCAGTTCCAGCTCACAGGGACTCACTGTACCACCATCACAAAGCACAATTGCCCGTGGGGTTTTATAGGCCACCTCGCCCATGGGAGAAGGTGCCAGTGGGGGGACTGGAACCAGCAGCCTTTCGGGGAGCCGCCACGTGCTCAAGCTCTGTACCAGCCGGGCTGAGTCGATGTTTAATGATTAACTGTTCACTAGGAAATAAGCAGCAGTGCAAACCGAGCAGACGTCAGGCCTCTGAGAGGAGTGGTGCGTCCAGAAATGAACACAACGATATGTCTTCTGTGTTTTTGCTGAGGAAAATTAAACGAACACGACAAATTGGGACTCAGGCATATGCTGCCGGCCTCATCCTGCGGATACCATATGTGTCCGCCCCGCATCGCGCCATCACGTGCCAGGAAGAGGAAGCGTCGCCTGGCACGGGGCTTCGATTCCGAGTCTGTTTGGGTGTGTTTTATGTTTTCTCAGCCACTTTGAAGGTGGCGGGTCATTCTCATACTTAACAGCATCCCTGGGATCAATTCACAGACGATACTCATGGTTCATTCTTAGGGTCAGTGCCGGGAGAGCAGCCAGTGGAGAGGAGGAGCCCCGAGCACGTGTGCCTGCCGTCACGGCCGCTCTTCACACGACGGGCGGCGCGACTAAAGAAATCAGTGCATCACACAAACGTCTGCCCAGTCCCAAGAACAGTGCTGGCATCAGAGCACCTCCTGGGCGTCAGGGTGCCCTGTGTGAAGCCGGGGTTCAGGAGGAAGGCTGGGTCCCCACTAACTGTCCTCTAAGGTTGGTACACAGTGTGTGTGTGTGTGTGTGTGTGTAGGGGGGTGGCGGGGGGGTGTGTGTCCAGGGTTGTCCCCTCACCCCACCTACCATGCAGTTGGTACGTGTGTGTGTGTGTGTGTGTGTGTGTGTGTGTTTACACATGCACACAGGGTTGTCCCCTCCCCACCTACCGTGCGGTTGGTGCACAGTGTGTGTGTGTGTGTGTTTGTGTCTGTGTGTCTGTGTACACACACACACAGGGCTGTCCCCCTCCCCACCTACCATGCGGTTGGTGCACGGTGTGTGTGTGTGTGTGTACTCGCATAGGGCTGGCCCTCTCCCCATCTACCATGCAGTTGGTGCACGTGTGTGCGTGCGTGTGTGTGTGTGTGTCTGCGTGTGTGTGTACACAGGCACACAGGGCTGTTCCCTCCCCACCTACCGTGCGGTTGGTGCACAGAGGCGTGAAGGCGTTGGTCCCGCACGTGAAGAGCCGGTCGCCGCCCACCAGCAGCACGCGGATGTAGTTCTGACATTCCTCCTGCAAGACCACAGGGACGTGTTAACAGGCTGTGAGCAGAGGGGACACGTCCAACGGTTGTCATAGGTTCTGAACATTAAGAACAGAGGCGTTCAGGACCTGACAAACAGAACAACAACAAAGCTGCTGAGTGGCCGACTGGCTCCGTCTGCAGCCTCGTCCCCGGGAACACGCAGGACGGCGGAGCACCCCCTCACTCCCTCGAGCATCTTCTGAGACGGCGAGTGATGACGCTGCAGCCTGGAAGGTGCCAACCTCGCCTGGACCACTGCCCCCAAGTGCTGCTGGGAATCCTGTCCCTGCCCGGGGTGTGGTCACCTCAGCTCAAAGTCACTGTCACAGGGTCGGACCAGCACAGAGAAGCCCCCCACAGGGCTTCCAAGGCTGGGGATCGAGCCGAGGAGATGGTCCATAGTGGCTAGTGGACGCTAAAACCATGAGACACCCAACCTGTGGGTGAGCAGTTCAGCTCCTCCGAACGACACTGCAGATAAAGTTAAAAGGGTTTGTCTTTATTTCAACATAATGTGTATCTCTGATCATATTTGTGTCCACAACGTCGGTTGAGCCTTAAGCCAAACACTTCACACAACTGTCATTTGTCATTTGCAGGAGAGCTTACAGGGGGGCTCTGGTGGCCTCATGGTAAGAAGCTGTGTTTCAATCCAAAGGCACGTGGCTCGAATCCACCAGCTGCTCAACAGGACACGGATGGCAACGTCCTTTCGTGTGACTTCCTGTCTCTACAAACATGCTGAAGGGTCAGCTCTGGGTCAGTTCCACCTCAACGGTACCCAACAAGACGAGAGAGTACAGATCCCGCTGGCTTTCCACGCAGCAGTCCACGCACATCTGCTTCGTGGTCGACCACAGTCCCCATGTGGAAATGACCCTCCCGTTTGCTCCGAGCTTTCTGGTGTCACGTGTCCTTCTTCTCGAGCCCTTCTCTTTTCTGGGAAAATGCTGCCCTTTCTGGTTAACAGTCAAGAAAATGTGCCTCCTGGTGTTACAGCTGCTGTTTGCAACGATCGAGTCTGAATGGACTCAAAGCTGCGCCCCCAGCACGTTTCCAGAGGTGGGAAGTCTCCCAGGAAGTGATGAGAGAGGACTTATCCTGCTGCTGAGGGGGTCAGTCAGAGAGACATGGGACCTTCCCCAGAGCTGGGAGAGCAGGGGCGGAGAAGAGGAGGGGGAGGAGGAGGGGGAGACAGAGAGAGGGAGAGGAAGAGAGGGATAGACAGACAGAGACAGAGTGAGTGGGCCATCCCCAAGAGCCACCCCAGAACCCAAGGTTCCAATAACTTCTGGAGAAAGTGACCACATGTGCTTCTGTGACAGCAGCCAGGGCTAACTAACTATGACACTGACCATCAGCAGCGACATTTCCATTACGTTGTTCAGTGCCATCCAGTCTCCTACAACCCACGGCGGCTGATGGCCAACCGTCTGCCCCTCGTCCTGCCCTGCGTTTTCCTCAGCATCTCTGCCCACTCAAGCCCACCAGAGCTGTGACTGTGTTGATCCATCAGACGAGGCCCGTCCTCTCTTCTCTTCATGTTCTGCCTTTCCTACCTTTTCCCAGGAAGCGGTCCCTCCGGACACCATGCCCAGAGACACGGAAAGAAAGGTGCACCCTCCCTGCTTCTAGCAGCGCTCTGGCTGCCCCTCTGCTGAGATGTTACCATCATTTGCTACAGCCCAGCTGTCAAATGCCTTCGCATAAAAATAATCGGGAACACCAGCAAACAGCTTTCTAGTATTCTCTGCTTCCGACAGCAGCCACCTGCATCCAGTTTGAATTTCTGGCAATTTTCTGTTGATACATTGTTCCAGCTTTTCCAATAATCTTCAGTAAGATGTTACTTGCATGTGATCTTAGTTGATAATGTCTGTACTCTGTTTCATTATCTTTTGGGGGAATGGTAACAAATGTGAATCTCTCCGGGATGGACTAGTTAGTGAGCAAGTCCAGCGCTGCATCCACTCTTTCAACAGGTTAACTGGTTGTTTATCAATTCCTGGGGCCTTATTTTCGCCAATGCCTTCAGTGCAGTTGGGACTTCCTTCGGTACCATTGATTCTTGATCACATGCTGCTTCCTGAAAGGGTTTCGTGTCAAACAAGTCTTTCAGTATCACTGGATTCCTGGACACACTCCCTCCGTGATGTGCTGCTCCTGTGACAGACAGCCGTGCTGAATTCCTGGGGACTTGGGACAACAGTGCCAGGGGCTCACAGAGACAGGGACATTGGGACCACAGAGCAGGGGCTCAGGACCATGGAGTCAGGAAAACACGTCCAGGTGGGCAGGCAGGAAGTCCCCTGACACAGGACCTGGGAGTGGGCAAACACAAGAGTGGGTCTCTCCTCACACAAGCACGGTCCTGGTTAAACCCAGCGTGACTGGGCAGCTTTCACTGTATGCCCCACACGGTGGAGGTAAAGGGCAGCCAGAACTGACGCACACTGTGACTGCAGACATTTCTGGAACGTCTGGGGTCGGCACAGGAGAAGACCTGGAGATGCTGCCCTGAGAGCCTGGGCCAAAGGTGAGGTCAGCAGATGGTCAACCAAGAAAACACAGACAGCAGCTTCAGATCCGAGACGGGATCCACCCCAGCAGGGCAGGCGGCGCCCTCCGGCCCAGGGCCCTTACAGACCTTTCTAAGACGCCGAGGTGGGAGGGCTCTCTAGGGGAGGATGGCCGGAGGACAGCAGGCCAGTGTGAGGAGGAGCGTGTCCCAGTGGACACAGGCCTGTGCAGGGTGGCCACATCGAGGCATGAGCACATCGTGCAGCCCTGTGGAGCGAAGGCAAGTGGACAGCATCACGTCCATTGATAATCCAGAGCTTCAAATCTAGGGGCGCTTGAGGGGGAAGCCCAGGACCAAGCCCCTCCTCACCTGGTCCCCCAACTGGGACGGAACCACACAGGCCTTCTCTGATCCTGAAACCACCCAACACTGCGGTTTTCTTGGGAAGAATGGCTGTCAAGGGGTGACCCTTCAGCTCAGGAATCCCCACGTGCGGACACAGCCATGCGGGCAGCAGAGCTGATGGGGGCACAGTCAGGCAAACCCCTTAATCACAGCTGAACCCGAGGGAGAGAGCTGCAGGCCAAGGGCTTCAGGGCCACAGAGCCAGGGACATCGGGACCACAGAGCCAGGGACGTCGGGACCACAGAGCCAGGGACGTCGGGACCACAGAGCCAGGGACATCGGGACCACACAGCCAGGGACATCGGGACCACAGAGCCAGGGACATCAGGACCACAGAGCCAGGGACATCGGGACCACAGAGCCAGGGACATAAGGACCACAGAGCCAGAGACATCAGGACCACAGAGCCAGGGACGTTGGGACCACACAGCCAGGGATATCGGGACCACAGAGCCAGGGACATCAGGACCACACAGCCAGGTGCTCAGGGCAGCTGGCACAGCTGAGCCCACAAGGATCATCTTACAATCCCCTTGGTGTGGAGTCATGGGGTCTTGGTGTGGAGTCATGGGGTCTTGGTGTGGAGTCACGGGGTCTTGGTGTGGAGTCACGGGGTCTTGGTGTGGAGTCACGGGGTCTTGGTGTGGAGTCACGGGGTCTTGGTGTGAGTCACGGGGTCTTGGTGTGGAGTCACGGGGTCTTGGTGTGAGTCACGGGGTCTTGGTGTGGAGTCACGGGGTCTTGGTGTGGAGTCATGGGGTCTTGGTGTGAGTCACGGGGTCTTGGTGTGGAGTCA